GAGATTGAAGTTTCTATGGCCTGTAGGTCTTCGTCAATGGCGGCCTGTAACTGTTACCTGTTGGTTTCCATGAACCAAGGCTGCTATCCTTGTGCCTATCCCAGTGGCTATTCCTATACCCATAAGCACAGCAAAAGTGATAGATATGGGCTCTCTCTGGTACCTGGCTTTGTTTTGTATGAGCTCCTGAAAAGACAGGTCAGAGCGGTAAAGAATCCGGGGGTATATTCTAACCATTACACAGAAGTGAGCTGAATTATTGAATGTTTTGGTGGAGACACAAGGGGTTAGACCAGTGTTACATGCCCATTGGGTCCCTTGAGGGGAAACTAAGAATGTATCTGGAGCATTTATATTGTGAATTTGTGAACATAAAGTCTGTCTAATGTCTGTTGGGGGGCTTTCTACACAGACTCCTTTACCAGTAACCTCAGGGAAGGTGAGCCTATGGATGTTATTCCAGTCACAAGAGGCACTAGTAGTGGTGTCATAGGTGTCGTTAACTGCAACACCTTCATAATATGGTGGGGAGGCTGATAGACAAAGCCAGACAAAGACTGAGTTAGGTCACTTTGGGTATAGTTTAAGATAGAATAGGCCAAAAAAAAAAAAAAAAAAAAGGGCTGGTGAGATGGCTCAGTGGTCTAAAGCACCTACTTGGAACAAGCTTGGCAAAGCACAGGGACTGCGGTTCAATCCCCCAGCACCACACACCAGCCAGCCCTGCCCCCTGGTGGGCTGAGCTGGCCACACACACACACAATAAATAAATAAATGTTTACAAAGCTAGGCTGAATTCTGAACTGTATAAGAAGACCCTATCTAAAAAAGATAGAATAGGCGCCAGGACTAAATTATATAGTCTGGTTATGACAGGTGCCCGGGTGGTTTTAGGAAGCGAAGAGGGTGTCTTTGTGGATTGATTTACAGTATTGGGTATTGGCCTCTGAGTGGGTGACTGGGGCTGGGGTTTGACAGGAGATTGGTAAATAGGAGATCCTGGGTTGAGTGTCAGATTAGGTCTTATAGCTCGCGTGGGAACAGATAGGGGTTCCTTTTTTATAAGTAGTAAGCCTCCTCTGTCATCACCTTCTTCATAATATCTAATGCCCCAAGTCATTCCGGTAAGTCATCTGTTATTTGTTGGGTTAGTAACATTTAGGAATATCGAAGTACAAGCTTGCTCACCAGATTTTAGAGCACAATTACAACCAGTACAAGTAGATTTACATTTAGGTGTAGCCCACTTCAGACTAAGGTGAGGGTCGCCTGAGGCGGACCAATAGAGGGCTAAAGTTTCACATCCCCAGTGAGCACAGTAATAATGCCCTGGGCTATTGCAATAGCTTTTTCCAGGATTTGACGCAGGACACATATAATTGGGACCTGGTTACAGCATGGCTGGTGAGTAGTTAAATCACAAGGGGGGATTTGAAAGGATGGTCCTCCCGTTCCCTCCCAAGTTTGTAAAACTTTTCCATCTTCCCATCTAGACATTGTCCATTTCCATGGTCTATGGGGATTGGGGTTGGGCCTTCCCAGGGGAAGAAGAAGGAGCAGTAACCCTACGGACCCATAACTTGAGAGGATTGTCTGTCTTTTCCAACATCCAATGAGATTTAGGCGGTGGAGAGGCAGGCTTGAGGTGTGAGGCATGGATCCAGGTGGCGATGCCATCAACTTTGACCACAGTGGGGGTGATCAAGAGTACCTGGTATGGTCCTTTCCAGCGAGGCTCAAGGGTCTGTACCTGGTGACGACGGACGTAGACAAAGTCTCCCACTTGGTATCTGTGTGGGGTAGGTTCATCCCCTGGTTGGTAGGCAGAGGAGAGTTGTCACCACAGAAGTCTCTGAACTTTGTCTAGGGCTTGTAACCTGTCAGATAGGAAAGTATGGGGCAATTCTTGGTCTTTTGAATGGGAGGTTAGATCCTTAATTGGAGGAGGTATTCCAAACAAAATCTCAAATGGGGTTAGTTCACACATATAAGGGGAGGGAGTATTTCTTGCTCTAAAAAGAGCGTAAGGTAGGAGCATGGTCCAATCTTTTAAGCCAGTCTCAATGGTCAATTTGGTTAGGGTCTCTTTAATTGTTCTATTCATTCTTTCTACCTGTCCTGAGCTTTGGGGTCTATATGCACAGTGTAATTTCCAATCAATCCCCAATATCTTGGCCACCCCCTGACTTACCTGGGCCACAAATGCTGGTCCGTTATCGGACCCTATTACCTGGGGCAAACCAAACCGAGGAAAAACCTCTTCCAGGAGTTTCTTTTTTAAAAAAAATTTTATTTATTTTTTTATTTTTGTGTGTGTGGCCAGCTCAGCCCACCAGGGGGCGGGACTGGCTGGCATGTGGTGCTGGGGGATTGAACCGCGGTCCTTGTGCTTTGCTAAGCTTGTTCTAAGTAGGTGCTTTAGACCACTGAGCCATCTCACCAGCCCTCCATGAGTTTCTTTACCACAGTCTGTGCAGTCTCTTTTTTGGTGGGAAAGGCTTCTACCCATCCCGAGAAGGTGTCTATGAATACTAGCAAGTATCTGAGCCCATATCTGGCAGGCTTAATTTCTGTAAAGTCTATTTCCCAGTGTTGTCCTGGTCTGACTCCTCTTAGCCATCGGCAATGTAGAGGGATGAGCGTTTACTATTTGGCATGCTCAACAGTCTTTTATTACTTGTTCAGCCAATTCTTTTATCTTTGAGTTTGAGATATGGCATTGACCCTTTAGTAACTGTTGTAGCTTTTTAGGTCCCAGATGGGTGAGCTGATGAATCTGTCGTATATGAGCGAGAATCTCTTGCTCTGTAATTGGGGGGCTTTGGGGCAGCTCTGGTTGTGGGGTTACCTTGAGAGATAACTCCGTTGGAATGTGTGAGGTTGCCCTTTTAGCTTCTTGATCCGCCTGTCGGTTGCCCTCAGCTACTGGGTCTGAACCCTGTTGGTAGCCATTGCAGTGGACGATAGCTAACTCTTTAGGAAGCATGACAGCTGCCAGTAGCTCAAGAATTTCATTTTTGTTTTTAATGTCTTTTCCATTAGAGGTCAGGAGGCGTCTCTGTTGGGAGATAGCTCCATGTATATGGGCAGTAGCAAAGGCATATTGGCTGTCAGTATAAACAGTAGCTTGCTTCCTTTTGGCCAATTGCAATGCTCTTGTGAGGGCAATCAACTCAGCCCTCTGGGCTGAGGTCCCTTCTCTTAGCCCCAAGGACCAGATAACTTCTCTCTTGTCTACCACAGCGGCCCCCGCGTGCCTCTTATCTTCGTGTAGAAAGCTGCTCCCATCTGTGAACCAGATTACCTCAGCATTAGGCAGGGGTTGATCTTTAAGGTCTTTTCGAATACCTGTTTCTTCTGCCAAAATGTCTTGACAAATATGGATGACTGGCTCTGTAGACTCGTCCGGGATCACCCTCGCGACGAGTGGCTCCAACAGCCGTCTCTCGGGGTAAGTACCGCCGTACACTATTTTGCTTGGGCATTTGTTTCCCTTTCTTTGGGTGCTTTACACCGTTTGGCCTTCGGGCGTTTGATGATCGCTAATTTGTCTATTGGCCGTGGCTGGCAACGGGAGGCGTGAGCTCCCACTGCCTTCAACCGCCTGCAACCGGCAGATGTGCCTAGAGGTTGCAAGCCACTCAGCTGAGGGACGCCTCAGTGTGGTTCTGGATCCCTGGGGTGACCCAGTCGGATCCATTTGTGTGTCCTCTGAACGGAGGACTCTTGTGTGGCCAATAGAATCTGGTTACCCTTTGTCTTGAGAGCTCTATTAGTAGTGATATACCGATCGGGAAAAATTTTGATGAGACCGGTTGAAGCCATTTCATTTTTGTTCTACGACCATCCAAGGCGCCGACTTGTTCGATTTTTGTCGTTTCTGTTGTCTGTCTTGTTTGTCGGCTTTTGTCTGTGGCTCTCGCTTAGCACTTACTTCCAATTTGCCCCAACAGGAACGTTCCAGGATGGGAATAGCCTTAACCCCCCTTTCTGTTACCCTAGACCACTGGTCGAAAGTCCGAGAGAGAGCCCATAACCTCTCATTGCTTATTAAAAAGGGAAAATGGCAAACTCTCTGTTCGGCAGAATGGCCTTCCTTTCAAGCAGGATGGCCGCTGGAGGGGACTTTTCACCTTTCATCAGTCCAGGCCGTTAAAAACATCGTGTTCCGCCCTGGGCGCCAGGGCCATCCTGACCAACAACCTTATATTATGGTATGGCAAGATCTCTGTGAGAACCCTCCGGAATGGGTAAGGCCTTTTCTCCTCCCGACCTCATGCAAACCAGTAACACTTTCTCCCCGCCAAGACTCCACCTCACCAGTCTGTCCCCCGCCCTACCCTACCTGAATCTCAATCTGCTCTAACCCTGTTTGACTCAGAAGGTCCTCCGCCCTATCCACCCGTTCTCCCTCCTCCTCCTGCTCCTCCTCCTCCTCCGGCGACTGGCCCTCCTGCTCGCTGCCCTCGGCTGATCCAGCCCTTCCTGAGCAGCAGGTGGATCACCGGCCGGCCCACGGCACTCGCAGTAAACGGGCGCAGAGTCCGCAAGAAGTAGCTATCACCCTCCCTCTCCGACCTTATGGGCCTACTATAGATGACCGCAAGGAGGAAACATGCCCACACTACAGTACTGGCCTTTATCCTCCTCTGACTTATATAATTGGAAAAACAATAATCCTCCTTTTTCTGAGGATCCTACTAGGTTAACAAGCCTGGTGGAGTCTTTCTTCAAGCGGTGGGCTTCTCGGACCTAACAAGGCAAGCACTTATTCCACTGAGCCATCGCCTCCCCAGCCCCCTATAGCCACCCACCCGTTTCTTTCAGGAGCTCGGGCCTTTTTGTTTGGCGATAGCTTCCCGAAGCCAAGACAAGCGCGCCAGCGGTCACCCTCAGCGTAGGCGCGCCGCGCACTGCCGGGATCCGCTCCAGTCGCATCCTCGGGGCCCGCCCCCAGCTGCGGGGCCACCTTCCGGCGTGCCCGCGCACGCCGGCGGTGACGTCAGGACGCCGGGGCTGCGCAGTCGGTGGAGGCGGCGGGCTGTCCGTGGCGTTCTCCGCCTGCGTCTGCTGGGGCCCCTTCTTCGCAGGTGACTGCGCCTTTCAGTTGGGG